GAAATAATGGTGAAATCATGAAGATGTACATTTTAATTTTACCTTAACTACATTTTAATTTACCTTAATATTAATGACAATTTCTTACTAAGGAAATTCATATTTGAATATGCACAAAAACAGAAAGAAATCCATGTAACCATTCCCTAGTTTTAAGTGACCATAATTTTACCATTCTCATTTCATCTCTTCCATCTACACTTTTCTGGGCAAAGTCTTTTAAAGAAATCACAGACATCATGTCATTTCACATGGTATATTCTTTGATAAAGACTTAATTTTTTTTTTTTTTTGGTACTGGGGATTGAACTCAGGGGTACTTGACCACTGAGTCACATCCCCAGCCCTATTTTGTATTTTGTTTAGAGACAGGGTCCACTGAGTTGCTTAGCTCCTCACTTTTGCTGAGGCTGGCTTTGAACTTGTGATTCTCCTGCCTCAGCCTCCTGAGTAGCTGGGATTATAGGCGTGTACCTATAAGGATTCTTGATAAGGATTCTTAAAAAAGCATAACTCTTATCACATCCAATAAATTTAACAATTCATCAGCATTCTATAATTCCAAGTCCATGTTCAGTTTCTCTAATTTTATTAAAATTGTCTTTCTACTGCCTGTCTGTTTGAATCAAGATGCAAATGAGATCCACACATTGCAATTCTATCTCGTTCTGATCTATGACAGTTTCTCCTATCCAAAAATGTCATTTATTTGTTGAAGAAACCAGACCCATTTGTCACATAGTTTTTCCCTACAGTCTGGATTTAGCCAACTACAATCCCTAGGTGCCATTTTATGTGTTCCTCTGTCCCTAGCATTTCTTGTAAACTGGTAGTTTTATCAAGAAGCTTGTTCAGTTTCAAGTTCCATCTTTTTTGGCAGAAATACCTCATAGGTGGTCCTGTGTATTTTATTTTATAGTATATCAGAAGGTATTTTTTCTCTCTTTTAATGATATTAAGGTTGATAAGTGAATCCGAGCATTACCAGCTTGATCTATCTTTCATAAGTCTCTCTACAACCTTTCACCCGGTGGTATTAACAATCACTGATGTTTACCTAAATACATTATCTCATTAGGGATTGCAAAGTARCCATTTTATAATCCCCTCATTCCTTCAGCATTTATTAGCTTTCAAGAAGAACTTTTTCTTAGCAAATCTTTCATGAGTATCAAAAACAGGTTTTCAGGAAAAGTTGAGTAAATGCTTGATTCCTTCTTTCACTTATCATTTTCCAGACTAACTCATAAATTTTATCATTAGTTTTTTGAGAGAGGGGAAACATGAAGAACTCATGGACTTTGATGCACATGAAGTGTTTCAATCCATGGCAACCATTATTTTGTGGCCAGTAGGAACCCCTTTTCAAGTGGGCTTCTGAGTGGGACTTTATAATCTACAATCAAGATGCTCAACTAGACATTAGAACTTCACAAATAACCCTATAAATGTTGGTATTATTACCAAGTTTTACAAATACCGTTGTTGAGAAATCTGCAACATATGACTCCAACCAGGACTTTGTTCCATTGTAGATAACAATGGTTGAGAGAATGAGTGTTAAAGGTGACTGAATTATTTTCCTACTTGTCTTCTTTCTGGCTTTGAGATTAAATGGGGTTGCCTTTGACCAGTGGGAATATGACATTAAGCAATATCCACTTTAGAAGACATCATTCGTGAAAAACACTGTTGAGAATAATGTTATGCTGATAATACAGTAACTTGGAAAACAGCCTCTCTCAACTTTGTTTGTGAAGCATTTCAATTTTGATTACTCTGTGTGGGAGCTCCTGCTCAAATGTGTGTCGTTTTATGGTCTGCCCATGTCTGGGGAGCTGGCATTACATGCTGCCTAGTGTTTTTAATTCAGAAGTTCTTCTAAAAGAAACCTTAGCCTCTTATATTCCAACCCTAGCTTTAATAGCATAAGCTATTTCCTTCTTATATAGCTTTGTGGGCATAGTAATAAAATAAATACCACAAAGTTACTGATGAGATGAAATTGCGCTCCCTGCCTCTGTGCAGCCATGTAGGTAAAACAGTAATTGGCTCTGATAATAACTTCTGTTCTTACAAACCAAAGTCTAAATGAGAGTCACTTTTGATATATCTGCTTGTAATTACTATCAAAAGAAGAGAATACAAAGTTTTGTTTAGTGGCTCAAGATAGATTAAATAAATCTCTGTCTTTTCTTGACCAATTTAAGAAAAAAATTCTAAAATTATTTCTGATGTTTATCTTATTATTGGTAAAAAAAATTGATCATCTTCCAAAGCATGTTTTTCTTCTTAATGGAATGATTAATTTTTTTTTTTAAAGTCTTTAGTTGTTTTTCTTGGAAAAAAGCTTATGACTGAATCTGATAATGCAGCTTATGCTTATAAGTATTTTCTTATACACCTCTCTAGACGGTTCTTAAGACCAATTTAGGTTTTGTATGTATTTGGTAGTGATTTTCAGCAAAGCTTTTGACGTGTTAACATTATCGAAATGTAATGTATTTTAAAGAAATACTAAATCATGTGTGCTACATATTATTATTTTGGTACACAATGCTTTCATGCTAAAATAGCAAATATTAGAATATTAATGATTTTAAAAGAGATTTTCCATAACTGTAAGCCAACAGTAAATAATTGCTMTTACAACCTGTCCTTCCTGATGGATTTCTATCTACATACTGATTTACTTAAAAAAAATCTGTGTCCAGTGCCACAAACATGTAAAAATGGATAGGAAAACAACTGAATTTTAATGCCAGTTTTAACAGTGACTCTGTATTTGATCATTTCCTCCCTGCACCAGTCCTATAACCACACTAAGTTGATGGAGCATAATAAAACTAAGAAAACTGCTCTGGTCCACTGAGCCAATGATCCCAGAATTAAAAAGTTCTAACAAAGCTTAGACATGATAGATGAAGCTATTACCATCAACTGAATCCAGAATACACATTTTAAAAACACCCTAATTACAGAAACCACATCCAGTCAATATAATACATATTAGTAATTTCCCAATCCTCGGTAGAATGGAAATTATTCTGAAAGTTTAATTAAGAAGGGAAAAATTATGTTCAGGTATTAATTTCAATAAAAGAGGCACTTGGCTTCTATGCAAAAAAACCCAGAGTGGTGCTGTGAGTGTGGGATAGCCACAGAAGGAAAGCCATTTATAATTAGGCACTACATTATCTTTGTCACCACCTGTACCTCAAGGAGAAAGTTACAGGACCCACCTTGTTTGCAACCTGTGTCTCTGCATGGGTTAAATAAAACAGACAAGGCAGTTATTTGGAGATTTGGTTCTTAAAACTCGATTTAAACAATAAAGGGAAGCTTTGGAGCATGTGTTAAGAAATAGCTTATCTAGACAGCATGCATTCCAAAGATATTTTTGTAGCCTTCTTCTCCACTTTGACCTTAGGCAGTTTATGAATGCTTATGATCAAAGAAATATCTGGGGCGTTGGGGATGTGGCTCAGCGGTAGCGCGCCCGCCTGGCATGCGTGCGGCCCAGGTTCGATCCTCAGCATCATACACCAATAAAGATGTTGTGTCTGCCGAGAACTAAAAAAAGTATAAATATTAAAAAAAAAAATTAAAAAAAAAAAAAAAGAAATATCTGGATCATGAACTAATCTGTCTGRTTCCTATAACCATTCCAACATTGCATCCGATCACCCTCAGAGCTGAGATTYTTCCTTGCTTGCTGCTGGGATTGAACTCAGGGCCTCATGCATGCCAGGCAGATGCTSTACCACTGAGCTACAAACACATCCTCAGAACTAAGATACTTAATTGAACTAAAATCAGTTTTTTTTAAAGTGGCTCACAGTAATTCCAACTTCTTTTAAAAGAAAGAAAGAGTCACAAAGGGACATGTATCATATGATTCCGTTTATATGAAATGCCCAGAACAGATACATCAATAGAGACAGAAAATGGGTTAGTGGTTGGCTGGGGCAGGGGGAGGGGAAAGGGARTGATTGCTAATGGGTAGGAGGTCTCATGCTAGGGTGATGAAAGTGTTCTGGAATTAGGTAGTGGTGATGCTTGCGCAAATTTGTGAATATGCTAAAAACCACTGCATTACACATTTTAAGGGGGTGTATTTTATGGTATGTGAATTACATCACAATAAAAAAAAATCACAAGAAATTTCAGAAATTGTTGACTATATATTCCCTAAGCACCAAATCATCTTTTAGCCTCAAATCATAGAATGCCCAAGCTAGCCAGTAAATTCAAGAGACCAAGTCCAATAGTTGCACTTTKCAAATAAAGAAACAAACTGACTTCCAATGAGGCACAGGGCAGAGCTGGAACCTGGGTCTGGCCACAACTTTCCAGTGTCCCTCCCTCTACCATGCAGCTAGCCCGGTTTCGTGGTTTCTTCTTCAGCATCCCAGCAGCAAACTGATTAGAATGGGAATAGGTAATCTGAGCAAGATGGTTTTTTTTTTCCTAAAGAAAGCATAAATTATTCTTATAGATAGCAAAATCTCTGTGAAGGAATAGATAAATTGATTCTGGTAAATTTATCAGGTCTATACTGAGATCTACCTGTAAGTATCCCTAGAGGAAAGTGGCCACATTAACAGACCAAGGGAGCCCTCTACCTGTGTACTTGCAGTATAGATTTCGATGACAAAATCCTTGACCTGGAAAGCTAAAAATAAATCTGAGATCAGGTATTTTTTGTCTTTTGTCCACCTTGGTTGGCTTCYAGCATTATTTTTGAGAAAATGAATGGTGTTTGAGGATATATTTGGGTGATTAATAGGATACCTAGAGGAAAATCTGCCAGAAAGTTCCTTTTCTGCGAATAAAAGGGACCAATTAGCAGCCCAAATAAAGAATCCAAATATAGTTCCCTGTGAGAATTGCATTACAATAATTATTTTCAAAGAACKTTGTATTCTTCTGAGGATATAAAATGTTAGTAAGCATTTTTGTTCATCTGGCATSAAAGTTTCATTGTTTCTTTGTTTCAGCAAAAGATAGGGTTGAATGTAAAAATCTTGCAGGATCCTGAAAACATCCACCACAGAGCTGCTGTAAATTCGAACTATGGAATCAGTTTGCCATATATTAATCAGAAAAAAGCACATGTAAGTAATGAGTCCTTTTTAACAAAYTCTTAATTTGGGGGGGACTAAAAGTCATGTATTAGTGGTGTAAGATACAATGTTGATCTTAAAAGAGATTGTGATCCTTTTGTCCTTGGCAATTTTTTTTTTTTTTGAGATGAAATGGAGTGGCTTTCATTTTATCTATAATAGTAATGATTAAGGACATCTAAACCTATTGTAAATGATCTATTTGTAGCTCATTCAAATTTCTGTTTTTATTTGATTTTCCTAAATAATCTAGTATCATCATTTTAACTAGAAGATATAGTTTAATGACAAAAAAATTAATACAGAAATTTTCAATATTTGATATCATGGATAATTGATTTACCATGAGAAAAATAAAAATAAAGCAGTATAGTATACATTCCAAATAGTGGTTACTCATATCATATACAAAAATTTAGTGTATTATCCTAAATCTGAAGCAAGCAGGCACTAATCCTTTATGTCAGCAGAATCATGAGACAGGAAAATAATCAAATGTGGATTCACAGGAAGGGATCTCAGAACTGGGCCTATTTTTTCCATTGCTGCTAAAATGGCCCAAAGCAAGGATTGTACCCTTCCTGTATTGTGAGTTTTGTTACGAAAATTAAGAGTAGTGCTTCATTTTAACAGGGAAATAATTTATTTTGAGATAATTTCTAATACTAAAAATAATTACAGAGATGAAATCTATACACTGCTGTACATTTTAAACCTTTGACTTCTCTCAAAAGTTCTGAAACATAGCTAGGTGATACCAAAACTAAAAACAGGATTAATTTTCAGATTAAATTGCAAAGCCATTTCTAACTATCGTAATAGTCTCTGAGATTAATCTTCCAAATTTCTTTCATAGACATCCAGTGGCCTGCTTTATTCATGTAACTCGGAAATATACATTCAGTCTATTTGTGCTTTATGTTATTCAAACAGGTTTGGTTTAAGTGTACTTTATCATAGAAATGCTTTTATAGCCTAAGAAATAACCAGAAAGTTAGATATTTTTATTCCTGCTGAAACTTTATTTAAAATGTCACTGTGAATAATATGAAAGCGTTTTTATCTACTTCCCATGAGCCCCAAAGCCCTTGAAATAAAAATATGATTTCTCTGGCTGTAGAGACAGAGCAGATTTCTCTTTTGTTGTTGTTGGTTTTCCTCTTCAATCTAGAATTAATATTGGCTTAGCTGGTGGAGCGCTGAGGCTGCGTAGCCCGAGGCAACTGCTGTATTTCATGCAAACTTTTTCTGATGAGTACTGAAGTTTTTAAAGGCATACCTCTAAATGGAGCGAGGATTATGCTTTGCCTTATGATTCTGAGTGGAGATTTCAGACTTAAATAGGGAATTCAAAATCATATCAAAAAATTGGGGCAGAATCTTAATTATTCATCTTTTTTATAATTTCTAAATTGAATAAATATCGTGGACATTGTGTCTGTGTATTTGGAGCAAAGAGGAAGTAAAAAGGCACTTTGCCTTGTTGATAGTTGATAATGTATATTCATTTACTATACTGAAGGTCCTTTATTCAGAMAATTCAACTCCATAAAAATGGACACCAGAGCATTTTTAAATGGGGTATATGTTTTGCTTGAACTACTGGCCTTTCCATCGAAATAGTTACCCTATAGTTTTATGTTGATGTGGATATATGATGGCACTAACTGGAAAACGGTATTTTCATTTTGAATTTATAAAACAGAAGCATTGTTCAAAAGGTCCTTTGGGAGAAGCRTTGGGATATTTGGTCTTAAACATTCACGGAGAGCATGTGGGGGTAAACACAGTTGAGATTTACCACTTATCAAAATGTTTTTAGAAGCACTTACCCAAACGGAAGCAGCGTGTCTAGCGTTGTGATGTACAGTTAATTAGGAAAGCAGCATCGAGGCTAATCGCTTTTTAGAACTACTCTGAGCATAAAGGGGCTTATTATTTGGCTGCCGAGGGCCATGTGTTTCCCTACTTCTCATGAAACTTGAACAGCTTGTCAAAAGCCTGTAAATAATCTTAGGCATTTTTGACAGAGCAAATTTGAATATGTAGTCAATTTACATTATTAGTTCTTAGAAGCTGTGGTATTTTCTCCATCTGATGAAGAGGAGCATCCTTCCTAATAACAAGGAGCCCCWCGTTGAAAGCACACACGCTCCCGGGCTGCCCTGTGCTAGTCCTAGCACAAGACTCCTTCAGAATTTTATATTCTGTGACTCTGTTATACATAATAAATTTACAAAAGAGCCCTAAAAGTGAAAATCACTAATGATTTTTTAAAATATCTTAAATCTGCCAAATAAGAAATAAACAACCCACTAACATGTTTTGGAGTAGGTCCTTATGGGTTTGAAGCAAGAAGAAATCTCTAGTGCTCTTCGCTCACGTTCCCTTGCTGGTATCCAGTTCCAGTCAGACGTTATAATGAACACACTAAAAGATCTACAGAAAATTTGACTTTGATTTATTCTTTTAAAATAAAAAGGGTTTCTTAAGAGGCTTGAAACATGTATCTGTTAACATGAATTTTAAAAGAACGATTATGAATGCATAACAAAATAGCCAAACAAAACATTGCTTTGAATTGCCGCACAAATAACTCTGATTATAACTGTTATGACCTAGAAAAGAATCATAAAAACATTTTTCTTTTTGGCAAGATATGAGTTGCTGTAGAATTATACCAGTTCTTTGGTCCCACTTTCCAAATAAATAAATATATAATGCAATGTAAACTTAGAATCTTTTATTTATTCATGAGGTTGAATTTAATACTATTATGACTTCTAGATTTTATGAGTCATATGTTATGCAGTGTTTCTCCCTAACTTAGTTGGGTAGCAACCACACTTCACAAATCATAGTTTCATTCTTTACTGTTTCACTTGGGGTGTGCATAGTAATCTTGCTCACTGAAAGCACATTCATTTCTGAGATGATAAAGTAATGGAAAGTGAGGCAATTGTGTTAATGTCAAATGATTAGAAGAAGTACCAGAAGTAAGGGGTGGGGTGGGGGGAGGACGATCTCAAAACATGATTGTGTTTTAAGCCCATGCATATGGCCACAATTACAGTCACAACATAATTTGGCAATGGTAGCAGAATTAGATTTAAACAAATTGATGTTACACTGCAGTAATTCAGAATGAGCTTGTTGCATTTATAAACCATAACAAGAAGCAGAGTGAATTAATAAACCCTYCTTGTCACTAAAAATAAAAAAGGGAATAATTGCTGAGACGGAGTTAACTTAACAGATGACTATAGTCAGCATCCTTCCAGCCTAGATATGGGAAAGTGAAGGTCACCCCCATCTCAGATGACAAAGAGGGAACATTTTGTTGGTAAACAAATTAATCTTTTGAAAGGTCGCCATTTGTTTTAAGTTTTTATCCAGTTCTTGTCATCTGGAATCAGAGATTGACTGTCATTTCACCAGGCAGGGGTGCAGTGGAAGCAGACAAAGCTGCTTCTGTACGTATCAGCATTCCTTGACAAAACTCTGTGCCTGATTGTGATGCTATGGGCTGCTGGTTTACAGCTGTCTCCGGACAAGAACGGAGGCCCACCCCTGAATTCCAATAAGATGGGTCTGCCTATTCYGCCTGCTGTAAGCTGGCCCTCTGCCCACAAGTAAAATGTATTGTAGTTCAAGCCAGCAATTATCTCTTTTACTTCCTTCTGTGCTGCTTCTGTTCCCTTTTTCCAAAAACAGATGTGGGTATTCACTCAAGTTCTGCATCTATTCTTCCTCGCACCTGCYGGGGCAGGATTTTGACAGAGGTAGAGTTTGAGGGAGCCAGCAGACAACAATCAGATGTAATTTTCTTTGAGAGCAGTTAAAAAAGAAAATGTTGATTTTTCAGGATCTGTGGAGTCAGCATCTTGGTCCCCCTCCTTTTTCCCAGGAGCATTTGGTAAATTAAATTAGTCGAACAAAAGGAAATAGCTTTAAAAGACATTCTGAAATGCCATATCCTATTTATGACACACGGTCATTACCCAAGGACTGCGACAGAATGCACAGCATCCCTTCTTCCCTCAGTCACAGAGAAGCGTCTCCTCAGGTTGCCTAGGAAGAGTTTTTGAAAGCACCATGGCTGTTCACGCTCTTCCTGATTCACAGCCTATAAAATGTAGCCCACTAATATGGTGGTGGTGTTGTGGAGGAGAGGGGGCATATGGCCCCTGTGCCCATGTGCCTTTGCTGTTCTCAGTGTAACKGGAGAGGGGAAGAAAGCAATGTGATGTGGACTGGTGTGTGGCTCTCTCACACTCTGGAAGTGGGGAGAAACAATTGGAGGCTATTTTCCATCAAATAACATTCATAAAAACCCAACTGTAGTGAGTTCTCTAGCTTCTTTGGAACAATACAGTTCTTCAGCTTCCTAGCTAAGATCTGCATGTGTACCCAATCCAACGCTAGAAGAACTTGAAAGCACCTGGTAGGACTTCACGCTGCCTGATGTGAATCCTTACTAGATTGGGCAGCTCCTGGAAACAGCCTGTGTTTCCGCATCAGTAAAATGTCCCTAGTAAGAAGACCTATCTCACGGGATGGTATTGAGATTCAAATGAGTTCAATCAAAGCACTAAGCAAAGATCCTGGTACAAAGAARTGCTTGGAAAATATTAGTTATTACGATTTGGCGATTCTCACCTTTTGCATTGTGCCATTGTTTTATATTGTCATTTAAAACTTATGATATTGTGGGGGCTGAGGGAGGGAACAGGAATGCTGCTGAGGTCCCTCYCAGGGGTACTGTTTAATATTGCATGTGATCATGCCTTTTTTAAYCACCAGATATGAGGATGGGAACCTCATTGTCTGTTCTGTTTACTGTTTTATAAATTCCCCATTGCACCAAGCAGACACATAACAGGTGCTAAGGAGAGGACTGACCTGACCTCTCATCTGTCCAGTCTCTGTTTCGAAGCTACAAAGCCTAATGTCCCKTCTCCTAGTGCAGTCGTCATTTTGCTGGCCCCTCCTCATCCTGCTGGGTCATTCTACAGGGTTTATTAGTGAAACTACCTTGCTCCTGTGTTTTTATTTTTTTGGGAGGGCGGGGTCCTGGGGATTGAACTCAGGGGCACTCGACCACTGAGCCATATCCTCAGCCCTATTTTGTACTTTATTTATTTATTTATTTATTTATTTATTTATTTATTTTTAGAGAGAGAGAGAGAGAGAGTGAGAGAGAGAGAATTTTTAATATTTATTTTTTAGTTCTCGGCGGACACAACATCTTTGTTGGTATGTGGTGCTGAGGATCGAACCTGGGCCGCACGCATGCCAGGCAAGCGCGCTACCACTTGAGCCACATCCCCAGCCCATTTTGTACTTTATTTAGAGACAGGGTCTCACTGAGTTGCTTAGAACCTCGCTTTTGCTGAGGCTGGCTTTGAACTGGCCATCCTCCTGCCTCAGCCTCTCAAGTTGCTGGGATTACAGGTGTGTGCCCCCACTCTCCTGTGTTCTTGATACTGCCTAACTGTCCATTTCTAGGACAGGTTACTCTACCTCCCTCATTTCTGGTCTTTCTGCTTTATAAAAAATGTATAGGGCTGGGGATATGGCTCAAGTGGTAGAGCGCTTGCCTGGCATGCGTGAGGCACTGGGTTCGATCCTCAGCACCACATAAAAATAAATAAGTGAAATAAAGGTATAAAAAAWTGTGTAKTTGCATGAAGAGCAGCTGGCATGTGGGAGGGGCTTGGAGTGAAGTGAATCAGAGCCTGCCCTGTCACTGAGCCCTAAGTAAGGAAATGAACATCTCAGATCCCTTAATTCCCTCTTCTGTAAAGCCAGAATAGTGATGTGAACTCTGCAAAGGTGTCATGGGGATTGCAGACAATACATCAACATTGCTGATATGCAATAAATGCCTAACCAGGTTCTTGCCTTTTTGAAAAATGAATTAGTATTTAACATCTCTTACTTCCTTGTCTCTTCTTCACTTSTGTGCTTTCAGAAAAGGATCTGATTTGACTCCTTTCACACTCTAGTATAAATGAGGAACAGGGCTTAATGCTCTGATTTTCAAATTGCTAGAAMCTCCAGTGAGTTTCCGAAACATTGTAAACATTTAATTTGCATTTTTTTTATAATAAACATTTAAGTTATTTGAAAGTGTAACAATGAACAGTATATGTATTTTTAAGTTAGATACCAAATTTTAATGCATTAGACCATCAGTGGGTTAATTTGTAATGTTAGGTTGACTCAGTGAGTGTGTGTATGTGTGTGTGTCTGCATACACATGCACACGTGCACGCWTGAGCATACATGCGTATGTGCATTTGAATTTTCTATAAAGGTTTTTTAATTGGGTAGGTCATAACTTTTTACTAGTCATATTTTGAAATTGAGATCTGCTCATATATGATTCAATAATAGACATTAAAAATAATCAAAGATTAAATTGAGCTAATATGTTATAAGCATTTTAAAGTAGTGCATGGCCCCTAGTCAGTATTCCATCAACATTAACWGGAATCAGTATTATGACACAGGTGTGCTGCCATCAATTAAAATCCAGGCAAGTTCTCTGGTACTGACTTGGCACAGTGTAATTGTCAACTGTGCAATCCCAGCAACCCATGTTGCATCATAATAATATTGCATTATAGATTGCTTGGGTGATTTAAAATGAGCTATGCAAACTGCATTTTGCAGTACAGRGTAGCAATGTTACTTTGTTTGCAATCCCAGATACAAATCAAGGATACAGAGTCAACTCAAAATTTTGAACTAACTTGCAAAACAAGATTATTTTGAAGATCTGGGTGAATATCTGAAAGTGAAAGGTGCCAAGATCTTCAAGAAGGAGTTTAAATGGGACCTTAAAATGATACATGACACTCGTATTTTTGGTTACTTAGTCCTTGAATAATAGTAGCATTTATTATGTGTGCCAGACACTGTGCTAAGAGCTTTACACACACGATCTTGTTTAATCCTTACCTATAAAATAGGTGCCATTTTTATAACCATTTTACAGATCAGGAAACAGAGACTTAAGGTTAAACTGTTTGCTTAACTTTAGGTAGTAAGAAGAGTAAAGATTCAAAGTTATTATGGGATTTAGTTGTCAAATCTCCCCTAATTGAGTTCTTACCAACTAACTAATCCTTCATTACTAAGGAACATGAGAAGTTATTGGATATTAATAGTGAATCTATTTTGAAACAAAAATATTGTTACTACTCTTGAAAGCTTCTGGATCATTTTAACTGAAGAAAATTCTGAGATAATAAGTGTCATAACAAACTCTTAGCTATTTGAAGTTACTTATTGCTTCATATTCAGTATTTTCTCCATCTTGTCCAAGTAAAATAAAACACATAAATAAATTGTAGATTGTGATGGATATAAGACTCCAGTTATTATCTATAACTCTTGATTTTATAACTTGCTTTGACCAAAACAGCCTCATTGTCTCCAGTCTTGACTTATCTTTATAAAAATATAAATATATAAACAKTTAAATAATAAATATATATGTCTTATATAATATAAATGTTCATATAATAAATAAAATAATTTAATAAATAAAATTATGCAAATTCTTACAAAACTTAAATTTATTTATATTCCAGCATTATTTGTAAGGGTGCATTTGAAAAAAGAGATTCTACTGCTGAAAATAAATTTGAAAATCTTTGGCATAGAGTTTTACCTCTCTGGTGGGTATTTATACTTTCACAGGAACAAATTCTCTATTTAATTA